GTGAGCGTAGGGAAGGGAGATGAGTCTCTTGATTCCTCTTTCCGCCAAGTACTGCTTGAACCTTTGTGAGGTGTATTCTCCTCCCCCGTCTGACTGAAAGCTTTTCAGCTTGACTCCCGATTCTCGTTCTGCGACTGGAAGCCAGGCGACAAAGGCTTCGAAGGCCATGTCGCGGCTTGGAAGGTTGAGATGCCAGACGTATCGAGTGGCGGCGTCGATGAAGGTGATGGTGTAATTGTAGGCTCCTTGTCCTGGTGCGCGATTGTACAGGATATCGCTGTACACCTTTTCGAGAGGTGTGTAAGCGGGTGCACTTGGGTTGTGGTGAGGTACGAACGGCTGATGCGGTAAGTCAGCTTCAGGGCAGGTGAAGCATGTTCCTCTGACTCGTTGAAGTTCTCTCCCGTCGTGCAGTAGTAGTGAATCTTTGTCGAGCACTCCTGCTCTTATTGTGTTGTTTAATGTTGTGTTGCTTGGGTGTCCCATCCGTGCGTGCCAGATGTCTTCGCTGGCGCGATGTCCGGGTGAGCGCCGATACATGTCGGAGTTGGAGTAGAAGCCGGTGGTGAAGTTGGCACATCGGTGGATTTCTCGTTGAGTTGGAGTTAGCTGCTGCGCGGGTGTTGGTGGCGAATCGTCGATAAGTATTGTTGTTGAAGGACCAATTATTGGTGTCGTTGTTGTTTCTGTTGCCAGTGTTGTTCCTGCTGCTACTGTTGTCTCTACTTCTGCCGATGTTGTCTCTGCTGCTGCCGATGTTGTCTCTGCTGCTGCCGACGTTGTCTCTGCTGCTGCCGATGTTGTCTCTGCTACTGCCGATGTTGTCTCTGCTACTGCCGATGTTGTCTCTGCTGCTGCCGATTGTTGAATTGTTGCTAACGCTCTTGTTCGTTCTGTCTCAGGTATCGTGTGAGAGTGCCAGAAGCCACCGAGGCTGAAGTTTAGGTCAAGATCTGGAGGGTGTGTCCAAGGAGCAAAGCTGACGATGCCGTCGCTGTCGGCGGTGCCAAGATCTGGAACGAAATCGAGAACGAAGACATTATTTTTCAGGACTGCTTTTCCGATGTAGAGACCGCCCTTCCCGTGGTACAGCTTGAACTCTTGAGCGGTGCTGTCTGCTTCAAGATGGATGCCCTTCGCCATCAGCTGGCTGACGCTGAGTAAGTTGTAGCCGAGTCCTTCTGCTATTAAGACCTTCGTCATTTGCAGTATGACGTTTGTCTCCCGTGACTGAAGTTGAACCACGCCTTGTCGTCGTGTGCGCAGGTTCTGATTGTTGGCGACGGTGATGACGACTTCACGTTGGAGTTGGTACTCTCGTTGTACGAAGCGTCCTGAAGAGCACATATGCTGTCCGCAGCAACTGTCCAAGAACCAGGTGTCTTTCCCGGATGGCTCGCTTTGGGCGATGGCTGCGTACGTTGGGTTCGGTTGAAGTGACTCGCGGCGGGGCGTGCAGTTATCGAGTTGTTCTTCTGGTGAGTGGTGTGGTGGAGACTCGCTGATGCAGGAGTCGTTCAGTCTTGTCATACAGCTGATGATGTTTCTTGCTCCTTGTGCAGGTTGTGTCGTTGAAGACTGCGGCTGACTCGTGGAGTTCGCCTGTGTTGATGCAATTTGACTGCTACGTTGGTGTTGTTTGTTGCCGATTCGGGAAGTGTGTTCGCGATGTCCTGATGTCTTGCAGATGTGGCAGAACGGAGGTACGGGTTTTGGTTGTTGTCGGTTGTTGTTGTTGCTGTAGCGTCGCTGAGTGTGGAAGGCGAATTCCGGTGCTGACGTTTTTCTTTTGTGTCTTTCTTCTTGCAGGTCCATATCTTGTTGCTCGGCGTGAATTTCAGCGCAGAGTGCTGATTCGGAGATTCTTCCGTGGGCTCGGAGAATGGCTTTTGTGGCACGCCATTGAGGGCCAAGGCCGCCAATGATGGCTGTCACGAAGGCGTCTTCTGATATTGATCCTCCGCATCGAAGGAGTTTGTCGCGCAGTTCGCGACAGCGACTGATATACGCCATCCCCTTTTCCCCTGGTTTCATTTCGACTGTTGTCAGTTGTGCCATCAACCGACTCTGATTTACACTGTCTGTTGCTTGATACAGGTTCTTCAGGTGGTTGTACGCGAGCTCGGCGGAGTTTCCGTATTCCCGGTAAGACCGTATGTTCTGCTGCTGAGTCGGTGTGACGTTTGTTTCTTAGGAGGATTGTGTACGCCATCATTGGCTGATATGTGTACTGCTGTTTCTCATACTGTGTGCCGTTTGCTGGGTATGGCAGGGTTCCGTCGAAGAAGCCGAGAATCTGCGCGCCTTCCATCATCAATTCGAACTCGAACGACCAGGTGAAGAAGTCCTTTCCGTCGAAAGGTCTTGACGTCTGCAGTTTCAGAACGTGTGCGAACTGCGACTGAACTTGTAACGCGTCCAGTGGTTTCTCTTGTCCAGGTGAAGGCTGCGGGTGCGGCATGAAGCTGATGGACCCGCGCTCGTACGGAGCAAAGGTAGGCTGTTGCTGTTGATTTCCGCGCGCGTAGGAAGAGCCGTCGAGACTCATTGGTGTGGCGTTGTTGTCGTTGCTGTTGTTTGATTGCGCAGGTCCCGCTTGCTGGTGCTGCTCGTAGAAGGACATAAAGGAGAAGAATGTCTCTATCATACTTGGGTCGAAGCCTGAAGCTTGGTTCGCGAGGGTTTCTATAGACCCCGCTGCTGGTCTTGTTGCCGGGTTCTCCTCCGTTTGCAGGCCAGAGGCAGGCGGTGGTGTAGGGGTAGTTCCGTGGGAGCCGTTAGAAGAGCTCCTTTCTTTCTGGGTTGCCATGTCTTCTGATGTTGTAGGTGACTTGATAGTAGTTGAATTCCCCCTGTTAGCTCTCATACCATGTTGGGCTGAGAAAAGCCCTTAGAGGATCTTTGCAGGGGTGAACTCTGGGTAGGAACGATGTAATAGCGGAAGCGTTTAATGATGAGATTGTGAACCACCTTGCGCTAGTGTGTGAGGGCAAAGTAAGTTGATTAAAGCAAAGAGATACAAGATTATATAAGAGTACAAGGAATATGAAAGGATACAGTTATAACTGTTTTATTGTTGCTGTTGCGGTTCGATACAGTGATGACTCGGGCAACTGCTCTGTAACGAGTCAGTTGTGTGTCCTTGCTGTCGCACTGTACTGGTCAGGTCAAAGGTCGCTGACCTTTGACTTTCGCGTAACTTCCAACGGTTACTTCAACCTCCGAGGGTTGACTCGCGGGTGTTTCGATATGCTTTGCTTCGCTTGTGACTTGTGTTAAACTGTATTATGTTTGTAGGCTGTAGTGGGGTAGCCAATATGGGGTACAACCCTAACTAGGGTTTGCTACTTGTACCCAATTCTTCCATTCAATGCATCATTCTTGCCTAGTTCTTTTCACATGGTATCAGAGCGAAGGTCTCGGGTTCGAATCCCGGTGTATGCACTTCGGGCATCCCAGTGCGGGGGGGTGTCAGAGGTCCACTGGTGATCCCCGGTGATCCTAGGGAAGGGTTACAGGCACGGCGGCCTGGGGGGTTATGGGCGCACTCACCCGCTACACAAACAAGCCCTTTTATCCCAGTGGTTAGTGGCTGGGATTCTGACAACTTGGTGTTTTCGCCACGACAGAAGCGCCTTTAGATCAATTGTTTCCAACATACTGTACCGGTTTGTCGAATTGCATGAAGAATGGTTTTAGAGCAAATGAGATTTTGGATGATTTTTTTCGACCTCTATAGTTCGCTTTAGCCTAGCAGGTTATGTGTATGATCCATTTAACTCTGGCATACTCTCTAGCTGCAAAACATGTGGTGTTTTACTAAACAATCTCTATTCACATACCTATGTGCTATTATAATAATTTCAGGAGCTTTGAAAAGAGTAAACCAGCACTGTACCGCATCACGGTTTATCGATTTTCGTTTGTTTAGCACGGTTCAGTACGTTACAGCAAGGTCCCAAACGTTTTTGATTTTTCACCGTTTAGAACCGTTGTCTAGCGCGGTTCAACGTATTGAACCGTGACCCGCCCTAAGCATCAGTTGGGCAAGCCCACTTTCCTCTCCATATCAATGGCTCCACTGATATCCTTCCCCACTTTCCTAACGCCCCTCCCCTCCTCCGCCTCCTCTCCCCTTTTTCCACATCTCTTGACTCGAACTCGTTGCGCCCTGTGGTTGTGGTTGGCGGGTGAGAGGAGAAAGTTCTCCGCCACTCCCTCCCCGAGCCGTCATCATCCGCTTGTACTGTAGCCCCCTTTCCGCCCTGCCTCGTCGCCCTTCCCTGCCTCGTCCAATTGCAGTCACCCGTGCATTTTGCTTTGCGTGACCCCAACCTGCTCCGCTCCACCGAACCAACTCCGCCAGCTCCGCAGAGTTCCCCCCTCCTCCCAGAAATTGCCAGCTTTCCTCGATATTCTCCGTCCGCTTCCCCATTCTCTCTTCCCCCGCTCCCCATCGCCTTCCGCGCACCCGTAATTTGGTTGGCTTGGGTCCTTCCAAGCTTGATGCTTTGCTCTTTTCATGAATGAACCTCAGGATGAGTTCCGTACACCACCCGTTTCTCCGCATTCTACGCAAGCTAGGTCGTTCTTTTCCAACAATTAAAATAGAAGTGAAATGCGCTTTTCATTAGTCTGCCGAGCATTTTTGGCGGTCTCTAAGCGATTCGAGTCAGTTTCGTGAAACTAGTACTTTTCCAGTCTCGCGTTGCTCACTGTACCTCCGCCAGTAATTCTGTAGTGGACAGGCCTTGCTGACCTACACTTCTCACAGTTGTTGACGCTTATGGTCCCAGCGTTTTATCTACTTTCGATAATTTTGAGAGGCGGAATGATTCAGTAGTCATGGAATACACTGACCCTATCATCCATGGGGTGCTGGCCACTGTCAAACAGCTACACAATTCATAGGTACACTTGAGCTCTTCCGAACCGAGCCACGCTCTTTGCTTACGCCGCTCTCTTTGCTATTTGTAGCTTTTTTTCTAAGAGATCTTACAATGCTAACAATTCACCACATAATGAAGAAATTTCTCCGAGAATACCTGGCGTTGCCTGATTGTCATTTCTTTCCGGAAGCCGTTTCTGGAAAAGGAAAGAATAAGTGCAGCGCTTCGTTTACCGACCCCTCGCTTTCCTGAATGCAGCCGGTACCGCTGAGAGCATTGACCAGCACATTCTGAACCGTATTCAACCGTCTCTAATCTCCTTCTGGACCCTCCGTGTTATCAGGTTTCCGAGCATTTAGTAGCCGCAGAGTTGTTAATCAAATTAATTCCAGGGCAAGGGTTCGCCCATGGGGTGTGGGGGATCCAAGGCTCTTGCAGCAGTAGACAACCCTCCACCTCCCCCACCTACCAAGCCCGTAGCACCACCATCAGTAACCGCAGCAGTTGTACCTTCCGCAGCAGAGAAGCCCGCGAAACCTTCGCAAGCAACGACTGCAGCTGTCGCAGCAGCGCCTCCTGCGACGGAATCCGTCAGCCCAGCTTCAGTCGCTCCGTCCAAGCAAGACCCGCCTGTTGTGCTGCAAGAGTCGCCGCCTGAACCGGCCGTTCCCTCGGTTGCCGCTTCTGAAGCTGCCGCTGATGCTTCCGGGGAGAAGGCGGAGAGTGCACAGGCGGAGGCAGCAAAGGCGGACACAGGGGCCTTGGCGGTAGGAGGCCAGTCCGCGGAGGAAAATAGGTCCGCGGAGGCGAACCGGTTCGCGGAGGCGCAGCAGGCGCAAGTTGGTGCGGCGGATGAGGGCACAGGGGAGGCAGCGGATGGGGGGAGCGGAAGGTTAGCAGGGGAAGGAGGTGAAAGCGAGGCGGAGCAGAGCGGGCGTGTAGCTGAGGCTGGTGAGGGGCAAGAGCACGGTTTCAGCAGCCGGCGTAGTGAGGATGACGATTCTCGTTCTTCGCATCAGAGGCTTAGGGAAGGCGAGGAAGGCGAGGAAGGCGAGGAAGGCGTCTCAGCGGAAGCAGCAGCTGCAGCGGAAACGGATGTTGCTCAGGACACGTCTGCATCTGTAGCGGCGGTTGGGGATGCGGCAGAGGCTCGAGCCAGCACGGATGGGCTACCAGCAGCAGGAGAAGCAGCAGGAGGAGCAGCAGCACCAGAAGCAGCCCCAACAGAAGCAGCAGACGGGCCTGGGCCAACTGCAGATGGCAATACGGGGAGTGGTGAGAGCAGTAGTGCTGATGTCAATGCTCGGGGCAGTGTAAGTTCAGGTTCGGGGGGGGCTGTGAATCCTAGGGGGGGCATCATCAGCGGATCAAAAAGCGGGGGGATCGTTTCAGAGGCTCGTGAGAGCAGCGCAGCGGCAGGAGGAGGAACAGGCACAGCTAATCTACCCCAGACGAGCAACAGCGCGGGGAGTGGGGGGGCAGGCGGAAGTGCGTTCCTCGCGCACAACGCCATCTCGCGCTCGTTGTCCCACGAGAGGCACCGGGGGCACACCCCCCCGCTCCCCCCCCACCACCGCCTGTCTACGAGCTCCCCTTTGCAGCAAGGCCCGAACCAGCACAACCAGAACCAGCATCAGCAGGAACACAGTCAGCCCTCAAGCCACTCACAGGAACAAGCAGGTCCGAACCAACAGCAGCAGCAACAGCAGCAGCAACAGCAGCAGCAGCAGCTGCAGCAGCAACAGCAGCAGCAGCTGGTTTCCAACGAGCGGCTAGGCAGCAGCCTTCTAGGCCGCTCTAGCTCCAACCGTTCCATGGGCCGACCCTCCACTCAACCCTCTACCCCCAAGCAATCCGCCTCCCCCAACCTCCCCGCCTCCCCTCAGGTCTCTGCCCAAGGCTTTGGCATGGTCCGCCCCGCCAAATCCAACCCCCACAACCCCCTCCCCTCCCCCCGCCAACCCGGAACCCCTCTCCCCAGACCCCCCTCCCCCCCCATGTCCCCCCACGGGATCCTCCGCGTGCCTGGCTCCCCCGCGCCCCTCTTTGGCGGAATGGCGCTCCCCCTGCCCTCCCCCCAGTCCTTTGGTTCGGCGAACTCGAGTGGGGGGGGCGCAGGGGCAGGGGGAGGCGGCGGGGGGAGTAACATAGGAAGCAGCGGGCTGGGGAGTGGGGGCGGGGGCGTGGGGGGGAGTTTCCGAAGGGCGGGATCTGGTGGAGGTGGGGGTTCTGCTGGAGGTAGTGGCGGTGTCTTACCCAAGTCTGGCAGTCAGCAGCAGCAGCAGAGCCAAAACCAGAACCAACAGCAGAAGTCAGGGTCTACCGGAGGAGGAGGAGGAGGAGGCGGAGGAGGTTTAAATGCCGGCGGCAGCAGCAACAACAGCAGCAGCAGCAGCAGCAGCACCCGTCAGCACCAGTAGCAGCATGCCACGTATGCCTGCCATCACCCAGCAGAACGCAGGGAAACTCCGTGTGTTTTCGTATACAGAGCTGAGGGCGGCCACAGGGGGGTTCAGCAGGGAGAATCTTCTGGGGGAGGGCGGATTCGGGGGCGTGTACAAGGGGCACGTGGACGCGTGGCCTATAGACGGCGTGCCTATAGTGATGGGGCAAAAGATCGTGGTGGCTGTTAAGAGACTGAATAAAGACGGGCTGCAGGTGAGCGTGTGTGTGAGGGGTTCTGGCAGCGTGCAGGTAGGTGACTCAGTGTGTCCATGCGCCTACAGACGGCGTGCCTATAGTGATGGGGCAAAAGATCGTGGTGGCGGTTAAGGGACTGAATAAGGACGGGCTGCAGGTGAGTGTGTGAGTGAGGGGGGAGGGCGCTGCCTGTACGCTGGTCAGTGTGTTTGTGTGCCTATAGACGGCGTGCCTATGGTGATGGGGCAGAAGATTGTGGTGTCTGTTCAGAGACTCAATTATGGCGGGCTGCAGGTGAAGGTGGGGGTGCTGCAGCTAGGTGTGTGCGTGCCGTGTGCCTTTAGAGAGCGTGGCTATGAGTAGTGTGCCTTTTGTGGAGTCCGTATAGATGGTGTGATGTTGTGTGCCGATAGTGATGAGGCAGAAGATCATGGTGGTGGTTAAGAGACTCAATAAAGAAGGGCTGCAGTTGAGTGTGTGGGGATGGAGCAGGTACCAGGCGTGTGTGTGTGTGTGCCTATAGACGGCGTGCCTATAGTGATGGGGCAGAAGATCATGGTGGCGGTTCAGAGACTTATTAAAGACAGGTTGCTTGCAGGTGATAGCGTGGGGGCGCGCTGCAACAGCGGCTAGGTGCGAGTTCGTGTGTGTGTGTGTGTGTTAAATTCTCCTCCTCTCTTTCTCCATCTTCCCCCGCCCATCCGTTTCATACCAGGGTCACAAGGAGTGGTTGGCGGAGGTGAACTTTCTGGGAAACATCCAGCACCCGCGGCTGGTGCGGCTGCTGGGGTACTGTGCGGAGGAGGAGCACCGGCTGCTGGTGTACGAGTTTGTGCCCAACAAGTCGCTTGAAGACCACCTTTTCAAGTCCAATACAGCTAAAGGCGGGCCGGGTTTGGCCTGGCTGGATCGCATAAAGATTGCTCTGGATGCGGCCAAGGGATTGGCGTACCTTCACGACGAGACAGAGAACCAGGTGAGTAGTGGTGCGCTGTGGTGAGTAATGGTCAGCAGTGCTGGGCTGGGGTACTGTGCTGTGCAGCTTCTGGTGTACGAGTTTGTGCCCAACAAGTCCCTCGAGGGCCACCTGTTTAAGACTGAAGGAGGGGCCAAGGGCGGGCCGGGGCTGGCCTGGCTGGATCGGATCGAGGTTGCTCTGGATGCGGCGGCCAAGGAGCTGGCTTACCTGCATGACGAGACAGAGAACCAGGTGAGATCCGTGGATTGCACTGTTTGGGATGGGTGCTAGCTGCCTGATAGGAGAAGAGCAGCTGCTGCTGTGGCTAAGGGGCTCGCGTACCTGCGTGATGCGCGCCAAGCTATCAGATTCGAAACGCTCACACGCGTTCTTCCTTCTCCCACTCCAGCCTCAATCCCTTCTCGCCCTCCTTACCCCCCCCAAACCCCAGCCCGCAAATGATCTTGAGGGACTTCAAGGCGGCCAACATCCCCCTGGACAACGGCCTGCACGCCAAGCTGTCGGACCTGGACTGACCTCTGCTCATTCACCCATACATTCATACGCGTTACTCTTTGCACTTCCTCCCACACACACCTGTGCAGGTGATCTTCAGGGACTTCAAGGCGGCCAACATCCCCCTGGACAACGACCTGCACGCCAAGCTGTCAGACTTTGACCCGTGCTTCATGAATATGCGTCAATACTCCCCCCCCCCCCCGCCCCCGCTCCCTCTTCCCTTCCCCACCCCCCACACACATCTGCAGGTGATCTTCCGAGATTTCAAGGCGGCCAACATCCTACTTGACAACAACCTGCATGCTAAACTGTCAGACTTTGACCCTTGCATATCCATCTATGTGCGTTATTCCTTTCCACCCCATCCCACTCCTTCACACCCCCGCAGGTAATCTTCAGGGACTTCAAGGCGGCCAACATCCTCCTAGACAACGACCTGCATGCCAAGCTGTCCGACTTTGGGCTCGCCAGGGCGGGGCCTGAGGGCGACCGCACCCACGTCAGCACGCAGGTAGGATCAGATCAGGGGGGTTTGATTCGCAGAAGATGTGAAGCGAAGATGTCCCGGGAACAGGGGCAAATGTGCACATGAGGACTCACCTCACCAGGGCGGGGGCTGGGGCAGACTGCACACTCGTCAATAGCATGCAGGAGGAAAAGGGGCTGAGAGGCACATTAGTGAGGGGCTGAGGGGCTGAGAGGCACATTAGTGAGGGGCTGAGGGGCTGAGAGGCACATTAGTGAGGGGCTGAGGGGCTGAGGGTAGGGGTGAGCAAGGGGCGAACACGAACATGTTCGTGTTCGCCCCTGCACGAACACCGCCGTTCGCCAAACCGAACACTGTTCGGTTCGGCGAACACTTTAAGCAGAAACAGATGTTCGGTGTTCGCCTGTGAAGGCGTGTTCGGGCGAACCTCGAACACGTTCGTGTTCGTCTGTCATGGGGCAAATTGCAGCAGCAGCCCGAACACGAACGTGTTCGGGCGAACCTCGAACACATTTGTCACGAACACTTTCAGCTAAAAAAGAATGTTGTTCGGTTCACCTTGAACGTGTTCGAGGCGAACCGAACAGGTGTTCGTTACTTTGCTCACCCCTAGCTGAGGGGCTGAGAGGCACATTAGTGAGGGGCTGAGGCACCTCAGCACTCAGGTTGGGAGATATTCATGTCCGCTTTTCTGGTTCTGCTCTGATAGCTGCCTGCGCTCGCTCATGCTGCCCCTTGCTCCTTCTTCTTCCCATGCCACCCTCTTGAGGTGGTGGGCACAGCACAGTGGGGCTGTTTTTGAGTCGACTCAAAAACTGATAGCTACCTGCGCTTGCTCACGCTCCCCCCCTGGTTCCTTCTTCCCATGCCATGCCACCCACTCCAGGTGGTGGGTAGAGTGGGGTATGCCTATGTTCTAACAGGCCACCTGGCAGCAGTGTATGTTTTTTTAGAATTCTCAGAAAACATACACTGCAACATTTGTCCCTCCCACAGAGTATGTTCTAACAGGCCACCTGGCAGCAGTGTATGTTTTTTTAGAATTCTCAGAAAACATACACTGCAACATTTGTCCCTCCCACAGAGTATGTTCTAACAGGCCACCTGGCAGCAGTGTATGTTTTTTTAGAATTCTCAGAAAACATACACTGCAACATTTGTCCCTCCCACAGAGTATGTTCTAACAGGCCACCTGGCAGCAGTGTATGTTTTTTTAGAATTCTCAGAAAACATACACTGCAACATTTGTCCCTCCCACAGAGTATGTTCTAACAGGCCACCTGGCAGCAGTGTATGTTTTTTTTGAATTCTCAGAAAACATACACTGCAACATTTGTCCCTCCCACAGAGTATGTTCTAACAGGCCACCTGGCAGCAGTGTATGTTTTTTTAGAATTCTCAGAAAACATACACTGCAACATTTGTCCCTCCCACAGAGTATGTTCTAACAGGCCACCTGGCAGCAGTGTATGTTTTTTTAGAATTCTCAGAAAACATACACTGCAACATTTGTCCCTCCCACAGAGTATGTTCTAACAGGCCACCTGGCAGCAGTGTATGTTTTTTTAGAATTCTCAGAAAACATACACTGCAACATTTGTCCCTCCCACAGAGTATGTTCTAACAGGCCACCTGGCAGCAGTGTATGTTTTTTTAGAATTCTCAGAAAACATACACTGCAACATTTGTCCCTCCCACAGAGTATGTTCTAACAGGCCACCTGGCAGCAGAGTATGTTTTTTTTGAATTCTCAGAAAACATACACTGCAACATTTGTCCCTCGCACAGAGTATGTTCTAACAGGCCACCTGGCAGCACGAAGTGACGTATGGAGCTACGGGTGATGCTGATGGAGCTACGAGTGATGCTGATGGAGCTACGGGTGATGCTGATGGAGCTACGGGTGATGCTGATGGAGCTACGGGTGATGCTGATGGAGCTACGGGTGATGCTGATGGAGCTACGGGTGATGCTGATGGAGCTACGGGTGATGCTGATGGAGCTACGGGTGATGCTGATGGAGCTACGGGTGATGCTGATGGAGCTACGGGTGATGCTGATGGAGCTACGGGTGATGCTGATGGAGCTACGGGTGATGCTGATGGAGCTACGGGTGATGCTGATGGAGCTACGGGTGATGCTGATGGAGCTACGGGTGATGCTGATGGAGCTACGGGTGATGCTGATGGAGCTACGGGTGATGCTGATGGAGCTACGGGTGATGCTGATGGAGCTACGGGTGATGCTGATGGAGCTACGGGTGATGCTGATGGAGCTACGGGTGATGCTGATTGGAGCTGCTCACTTTTCACTAACGGACCTCTCCTGCTCTTCCCCTATCCCATCCCTCCGTCACTCCACTCCAGGTCGTGGACACAGTGAGGTATGCTGCCCCAGGGTACGTACGTCCTGACTGGTCATATCCCAGCACAGCACGCAATGAATGACGTGTGGTGTGGATCTAGTGCTGGTGGAGTTGCTGCGTCCTTCTCTTTGACTACCCGTATTGCACCTCCTCCTCCCCCTATCCCTCCCTACTTCCAGGTGGAGGGTACAGTGGGATATGCCGCTCCAGAGTACGTCCTGACAGGCCATCTCACAGCAAGGAGTGATGTGTGGAGCTACGGGGTGGTGGTGCTGGTGGAGCTGCCGCCTTCTCTTTGACTGCCGCTCCCCCCTTCTTCCCCCTATTTCTCCCCCACTGACCGAAGGTGGTAGGAACAGTAGGCTACGCTGTGCCAGTGTATGTCCTAATAGGCCACTTAACGGCACGCAGTGATGTGTGGAGCTACGGGGTGGTGGTGCTGGTGGAGCTGCTGACTTGTCACTAATCACTGTTTCCCTCTTCTTCCTCCTATCCCTCTGACACTCCAGGTGGTGGGCACAGTGGGCTATGCTGCTCCAGAATACGTCTTGACAGGTCACCTGACGGCGCGCAGTGATGTGTGGAGCTACGGGGTGGTGCTGGTGGAGCTGCTGACGGGCAGGAGGGCGCTGGATGAGAGTCGGCCCAGAGAGGAGGTCTTCCTGGTTGACTGGGCCAAGCCATACCTTGCAGAGACGTGAGTGCGGTGCAATGTGGTGGGGTGTGGTGTGTTCCACACAATGCTGGATGAGAGTCGCCCCAGGGAAGAAGAGGTGTTCCTTGTGGACTGGGCCAAGCCATACCTCGCTGAGACGTGAGTGCGGGGCGGTGCGGTGTGGTGGGGTGAGATGCTTGCTTTGGTTTGGTGCGTTGCAGAGCGGTGTTGTGCTCGCTCGCTCTTTCTCCATGATCCCAGGGATTGAGGGCAGGTGCCGCTGCCATGACCGCCATTCGATTACCTTCACTCTCTTCTCTCCCTCCCTTCATCACTCTCTTCTCTCGCTCTCGTTCCTCTCCTTCCCTTGCTCCCGTCTGTTCTCTCCTGCATCATGGATCCAGGGTTGAAGGCCAAGCGCAGAACCGGCATTTTCTTCACTTTCACTCCCTTCCTTTCTCCCTTCCTATTTTCCACCCTTCCGTTTTTCTCTCCTCCCTCATCCACTGTCTCTTTCACATCATGAACCCGGGGTTAGAGAGCAAGTACAGTCATCACTATCACTCCCAACTCAACCATTCCCAACTCCTCTGCCCCACCATTCCCTTTCACATCCCCCATCCCAGCCGCCGGCTCGTCCGCATCATGGACCCAGGGTTCGACGGCAAGTACCCAACCGAGGCATCTTGTTCATTCTCTTATCTTCACTCACTTCTCTTCCCCTCTTTCATAATTTTCCTCTCTCTGCTCTCATTCCTCTCCTCTCCCAGCCCAGCCGCCGTCTTTTCCGAATCATGGATGGACCCGGGGTTTGAGGGCAAGTACTCAGCCAAGGCATCACTCCCAACTCAACCGTTCCCAACTCCTCCATGCTCCCCCTCCCCACCGTCCCCATCCCATCCGCCGTCTCTTCCGAATCATGGACCCGTGGTTCGAGGGCAAGTACTCAGGACAGCCATAATCTTCTTCATCTCACCCACCCTTCCGCCCTTCCCTTTTACTTTCCCCCTGTCGTTTTCCCCAGCCGCCGGCTCTTCCGAATCATGGACCCAGGGTTTGAGGGCAAGTACTCAGCCAAGGCGTCCCAGAAAGTGGCTGCTTTGGCGCTCTGGTGCTTAGCTAAGAACCAGAAGCAGCGCCCCACCATGACCCAAGTTGTTGAGTCGCTTACCCCGCTGCTCGACCTCACAGGTATGGATTATCCTATGCTATTTGCTCCCTAATTTCTGAAGTACCTTGCTTGCTTAGCTAAGAACCAGAAGCAGCGCCCCACCATGACCCAAGTCGTGGAGTCGCTTACCCCACTGCTCGACCTCACAGGTATGGAACCACGCGCACTACTCCCAACCTTCTGAAGTACCTTGCTTGCTTAGCTAAGAACAAGAAGCAGCGCCCTACCATGACTCAAGTTGTTGAGTCTCTCACTCCACTGCCATGCGTGGAGTCTCTCAGCTCCCTCCTTGACACTCCCTCCCTCCTTTCCACCATCCCCTTCCTCCCCTCCACTCCCCCCCGCACCCTGCCTGCACACCAGACAATGCGGGCCTGTCAGCATCGCCAGCCCCGATTACCCCCCTCCGCGTGCCTCCCGCCTCGCCCATGGGTTTCTTAAACCCGGGTGCAGGAGGAGGGGGACCAGGAACACGGGGGGGGGGAGAACTGGGAGGCGGGGGGTTAGGCATACCCGGTGCATTGGGTGCTCTCGCCATGCATTGCCCCGCTGACGCCTCTCCCCTCCCCTCCCCCCATTTTTCCCCTCTACCCACACCCCCCTTCCTTCCCTCCCACACCAGACAATGCGGGCCTGTCAGCATCGCCAGCCCCCATCACACCACTCCGCGTGCCTCCCGCCTCCCCCATGGGTTTCTTAAACCCGGGGGCAGGAGGAGGAGGCCCAGGAACACCAGGAGGGGGAGGACTGGGAGGCGGGGGGTTAGGCACACCCGGTGCATTGGGTGCTCTCGCCATGCGTCGCGCTGCAGGCCCTCCCTCCCCCGCCGGGGTGGGACCGTTTCCCCCTGCGCAGTTCAACTCCCTGAATCCGCCTCCTAACGCCCGGTTCAGCCCGCGGCCGCCGCAGCTGCCTGTGGGGAAGCAGCAGTATACGTCCCCGTTGGTCGCTGCACTGAGAGTGAAGGAGCGGCAGCACCAGCAGGTTCAGCAGCAGCAGCAGCAACAACAGCAACAACAGCAGCAGCAGCAACAGCAGCAGCATCAGCAGATGCAAGCAGCAAATAGTGCAGGAGCAGGAGCGGGAGTGGGGTGGGCAGGGGGAGCAGGGGGGGTGCCACGGGGTGTGGGAGTGGGAGAGGGAGTGGTGGATGGAGGGGGTGTGGGGACGGTGAGAGAAAGAGCAAATGTAGGGAGGGCAGTGCCTCTGGCGATTCAGGTGACCCGGCCTCGATTGGGGGCGGCAGGAACCAACCATGAGAGAATGGAGGGAGTAAAGTAGTCTTTTGGCGAGCCTAGCAGAATGTTTCTCTCTTTGAGCTGCCTCTGCCCATTCAGGTGACCTGAACTCGATTTAGGGCGGGAACCAACAATGAGAGAATGGAGGGGGCGAAGTGAAGTGATTTCGAAGGCCTTAGGAGAATCTAAGCCAACCACGAGTGAATAAAATGGGTGAAGTTGTCTTTGAGGCGCCTTGCAAATTGTTTCACTTATTGAGGTGCCTCACAATCCATTCAGGTGATGCGGCCTCGATTTGGGGAGGGGTCCATCAACCGTGAGAGAACGAGGGATCGGGGAGGGGGGAGGATGAAGTAATTATCAGCGAGAATGGGCGATCGGGGGGAGGGGGGAGAACGAGGGATCGGGGGGAGGGGGTTTTCTCTATGTACGCCCAGGCAGGAATCTCTCTGTAGACAACATGTTTTTTGGAAAAGTGTGGGCATATTGTACAATGTCGATTGGGCTTGTTATACTGTTTTGATGTTGCCCATGTTGGTTGGAAGGCTGGAAAATGTGCATTTCACAAGAAGTGTTTGCGCACTGAGTGTTTTTGCAATCATAATTTTTGCTCACTGGAAGTTCTTTCTCATGAGTGCAGCGCGGTTGAGCGTCTACCTTCAGCCTCGAATTGGCTCTGCCCCTCGACAGTCCGAGAGGTCGCGTCGCGCCTAGTTCGTCAATTCCCAAAACCTGCCACCTGGTCGGTTTGGTTGCTTGCGGATTGCACCCACTTGGTAACCTACCCTCTCAGTTTCGCAACAGCGAAACAGCAACACTTGTCTGGGAGTTCAGCAATGGTCGGTGGCGAAAGAACTGGAAAAAAATATTCGCCTTTCTCGGTAGCACCTTCGCCAGCACTCCCGCCCCAATTTGTTACAAATACAGCATTGCCATGTTCAGTTGTGCCTGCCTCCAAGAACTCTGCTATCTGCTGAAGTTCTACCCCCGACTCTGCCCCCCAAACAAAATTCTGAAGCGATGGCGAACGCTCAACGCGTCTCGTGGATTCTGCTGCTCCTCGTTTCGTTCCTCCTCTCTGCTCTGCCAAACGCTCACGGCTTCTGGGTCACTCACGGAGGCGATCTCCTGAACCGCCGATGGGCAAACACAGAGCAGCAGATTTCCCCTTCCTCTGCTTCCCAGCTTGCATTATCTTGGGAGTTCACCACGCGCGGCGATGTCAGCGCTACGCCCGCTGTGTTCGGCGATTTCGTCTACTTCCCCGACGCGGCGGGGTACCTTTACGCGGTGAGGCGGAGCACGGGAGCTACCGTCTGGCAGAAGCGCATTCGTACGGATTATGGAATCGACCAGGACAATTTCCAGGGTCGCGATCCGTACTCTCGTGCGACTCCGGTTGTTGCCGAAGCCAGCGGGTTTCTCGGGAACCTCCTGATCATCAGCGTGTACGGACCTGCGTACGTCTTGGCGGTGCGACGCAGTGACGGAGGCCTGGTCTGGAAGACGCTACTCGATCCGCATCCTGCGGCAGTTGTAACGGGATCCGGTACGGCGTACCGAAACGGGCTGTACGTCGGCGTTTCATCTGGAGAGGAGGTATTCGCGTCGGATCCGACCTACCCGTGTTGCACCTTCATTGGAAGCGTCGTGAAGTTGAACATCGTGAGCGGCGCAAAAGTGTGGCAGACTTACACTCTGCCGCCCAACGGCGGAAACGCCAGCCTGTATGCCGGCGCGGCAGTGTGGGGCGCGAACCCGTCAATCGACGAGGCGAGGGAGCTGGTTTTCGTCGCGACTGGTAACAACTATCGCGTGCCTGATTACGTTTCGCAGTGTCAGCAGGAGCAGGAAGAAAACGGCGCAACTATTCCTGACAAATGCATCGAGCCTGGAAATTACTTCGACTCTATCCTCGCTATTGACCTCTTAAGTGGTTCTGTACAGTGGGCGACAAATCTGAGCCCAATCGACGCGTGGAACATAGCGTGCATCACGGAAACCCCTTCGCCTAACTGCCCTCCAAGTCCTGGCGAAGATTACGATTTTGGAATGGCTCCACTTCTAATGTCGATTGACACCAACACTGCGAAAGAAAATGGACAGCAGAAGGAGGAGAAACGCGACATCGCTGTGGCGGGCCAAAAATCTGGAATAATCTGGGCCCTCGATCGTGATGATGGATCAATCGTGTGGTCCACAGCTGCTGGCCCAGGGGGGCTTCTCGGAGGCGCGTCGTGGGGAATTTCGACAGACCTGGAGCGAATTTATGTGGGAATTCTGAACAGCGATTTCAAGGAATTCACTCTTTTGCCTTCCGCTACAGTCACATATGGTAGTGCTTGGATTGCGCTCAATCCTGCAACGGGGGCTGTGCTGTGGTCAACTGCCAATCCGAATGCCCCAGCACTTGCAATGCTCCCTTCGGCAGCCAATGGGGTGGTGTTCGCAGCTTCGATGGATACTGAAGGCCACGTGTACGCGTTTGATGCTGCATCAGGACAAATCTTATGGTCCTTCACGCCTGGTGCTTCTGTTTATGGTGGGATTTCTGTAGACCGTGGTTGCATTTACTTTGGTAGGGGTTATAATTTTCCATTCCTTCCGTATGCCACTGGGGGTGGGCCACAGCGTGTATATGCCTTCTGTGTCCCTCATGGAGTTTGATCAGGCTGCATCAGGAGAAAATTTTAGTGTTGTTTTTCTGTGGACAGCCATTGTGATCACGAGTACATATACATCAATTATAAATGGTGTGGTGAGGCAACTGAGCCCAACCAATTTGCAAGCCAACTCATTTGATTACACATTTGTAGTTGCGTTCTTGCACAACATTCCAGACATTTTCAATATCTACAACTTCAGTTACAGCCAGAATTGTGCGAAGTACAGACACGGTACATGAGCGTAACACCGACCTAAACATGTAGCATGCAATCTCTATTCGTGCATAAGCTTCATGATTGCCTCTCTAAAGATGGGTGATACATCGAGAATGCGGAACTTGCTGGGCTTCGATGCGGCCACAGATGGATGCTGCTTGCCATGATGAAGAGGAGGGGTGGGGGAGGAGAGGAGGGGAGGGGAGGGGAGGGGAGGGGAGGGGAGGGGAGGGGAGGGGAGGGGAGGGGAGGGGAGGGGAGGGGAGGGGAGGGGAGGGGAGGGGAGGGGAGGGGAGGGGAGGGGAGGGGAGGGGAGGGGAGGGGAGGGGAGGGGAGGGGAGGGGAGGGGAGGGGAGGGGAGGGGAGGGGAGGGGAGGGGAGGGGAGGGGAGGGGAGGGAAGGGAGAAGGAGAGGAGGGGGGGAGGGGAAGGGTGAGAGAGGGAGGAGGGTGAAGAAGAGAGCAATCACAGTGGAGAAAGTGAGTGAATCTGACCAACGAAGCATAACAGATGGTTCAGTACAGTGGTACTGCCAAGGTTAATACAATAATATTACATGTGTGCATCAGAATATGCACGATACCAAGCATTATGCAATGCAAGATGCCACGCCACACTCCCTGCACAACCATGCATCACATCACGCAGAAACTATGCACTGTATCATTGCGAGCGGAAATACTTTATATATATTTTTATCATTATTATTTTAATGGTAGTGGCAATTTCAGCATGTACTATACCATGCTCATAGGGTGGCTGTTAGTGGAGATGATGACGCTGATGCAGCTCTCCTCCAGCATGCGAACCACCTCTTCTGATGCCAATGCAAAGTGGCTGTGTTGCAAGTGGGAGGGAGCGGGATGCAATTGGGATGGGAGCAGGATAGTAGGATGGGAGTGGGATGGGAGCGGGATGGGAGTGGGTTGGGAGCGGGATGAGAGTGAGATGGGAGTGGGATGAGAGAGGGATGAGAGTGGGATGGGAGAAGGATGGGAGCAGGATGGGAGTGGGAGGGAGCGGGATGGGAGTGGGATTGTGGCGGAATGGGAGTGACAAGAGAGTGGGATGTAAGTGGCATGGGAGTGGGGAGGGAGTGGGGACGGAGTGGGAAGGGAGTGGGGTGGGAGTGGGGAGGGTTTAGCAATAGAACACACCTCTATCCTGACAAGCGAATGACTTGCTCTGATGCTAGCGTGAGAAAGGAAGTCAGAACAAGAGAGAGGAGGCATACCAAGGAAAGGGTGTGCATAAGAAATAAGAAATCGAAAGCAGCTTTCTCTCGACTCGACATGCAACTGCCTTCCCTTGATGCCAGGACAAAGAGAACGAGCGACGATGACGAGGAGGGCGAGGATGATTGGGAGGTTAGATGACCACGATGCGGAAAATGAGCGGTGAAAAGTTAAGTGGGATGAGAGGGCACACCATGACATGGCGCGTTTTTCGGAAGCTAAGGGTTTTCAGATCTGCGTTTTCACACTCGTTTTTTCACTGTTGTTCCTTTGTTTAAGCGTCTTTACTACTGCAGCCCTTCGACTATGAGTCAAGGTGACCCTTGGGATGAGGGGGCACACCATGACATGGCGCGTCATGTCATGAAATAACATTTTTGCATATCACACATAACACTACAGGATATCACCCAAACATATCACACTATATGACATATGACACTAGATATCACATAGTGTGGTGGCATAGCATGGTGTAGCATGGCATGGAGCAAAAGTTGGCAGAGAATGAATGCGTATTTTGTTGGACACACACATCATGGCATGGCAGTCCATGGTAAAGCATGCCACTCCCCATCACCGAACGGAGTGGCACAGCAAGGCATGGCATGGCATGGCATGGCACGGCACGGCACGGCACGGCATGGCAGAGCTGTACCTGAGAACAGCACAGACTCGACTGGCTCCTCTGGCCATGGCATGGCATGTGGTAACATGGCATAACATGTCATGGCATGTGGTAACATGGCATAACATGTCATGGCATGTGGTAACATGGTATGGCATAACATGGCATGTGGTAACATGGCATGGCATATCATGGCATGTGGTAACATGGCATGGCATGTGTTAAACATGGCATAACATGGCATGTGGTAACATGGCATATCATGGCATGGCATGTGGTAACATGGCTTAACATGTCATGGCATGTGGTAACATGGCATGGCATAACATGTCATGGCATGTGGTAACATGGAATAACATGGCATGGCATGTGGTAACATGGCATAACATATCATGGCATGTGGTAACATGGCATAACATATCATGGCATGTGGTGACATGGCATAACATGTCATGGCATGTGGTGACATGGCATAACATGGCATGGCTGGACTGTACTGTACCTAAGAACAGCGCTGACTCGACTGGCTCCTCTAGCCATGTATGCATCTGCTGCCTTCACCAGTGTGCCTGTATGGAGAGGAGAGGAGGAGAGGAAAAGAGGAAAATGGAAGGTAACACAGTCACATTAATTACTTCCTCTGTGTGTGTGTGTGTCATGGCGTTGTGTAATAAGATGGCGTTATACAAGTAGTCATTCAACTGCTTACCTCCAGGGCGTGTCATATCATCATATATAATCACATGCTCACCTCCAGCGCGTGTCATGTCATCGTATATAATCACATGCTCACCTCCAGTGCGTGTTATGTCATCGTATATAATCACATGCTCACCTCCAGCGCGTGTCATGTCATCGTATATAATCACATGCTCACCTCCAGCGCGTGTCATGTCATCGTATATAATCACATGCTCACCTCCAGTGCGTGTCATGTCATCGTATATAATCACATGCTCACCTCCAGCGCGTGTCATGTCATCGTATATAATCACATGCTCACCTCCAGTGCGTGTCATGTCATCATATATAATCACATGCTCACCTCCAGCGCGTGTCATGTCATCGTATATAATCACATGCTCACCTCCAGTGCGTGTCATGTCATCATATATAATCACGTGCTCACCTCCAGTGCGTGTCATGTCATCATCTATAATCACATGCTCACCTCCAGTGCGTGTCATGTCATCATATATAATCACATGCTCACCTCCAGTGCGTGTCACATCATCATATATAATCACATGCTCACCTCCAGTGCGTGTCATATCATCATATATAATCACATGCTCACCTCCAGTGCGTGTCATGTCATCGTATATAATCACATGCTTGCCAGTCACCTCACCCACCACCCCCAACACCTGTGGGCATGGAACGGAATGGCACGGCACGACATGAAATGAAATCGCATAAGATGACATAGGGCGTCGCAGGAGGTGCAAGGAGCAGTGCAGTGCACCACCTATGTACTACATACACACATCAACACGATTGTAAGAAGGTTGAGGGAAGGAGAGAAACATGAGAGGGGTATGCAGAATGTTCAGTAAAAGGATGCGCCTTACCGATGTCTCCTGCATGTGCCGTGACTTTCTCACGAATGCCACATCCACGTTGAACTTGCGCGCGAAGCTCTCCACCTGATGGGGTGGGGTGCGGTGGGATGGGTTGGCACGGAGTGGGATGGGTTGGCACGGAGTGGCATGGGTTGGAATGCGGTGGGATCGGGTGGTATGAGGTGGGATGGCTCACACACAGGCACAGACGCAGGGTCACAGATACTCTTTCAAACGCATACAGGCATGAAAGCAGAGACACATGCACACATGCACACATGCACACATGCACACAGAGGAACAGGCATGCACTCATGCCAATGATGGTCCCCACTCAAAATTATGGTCCCCCCCATCTCATTTCATACACTGCTATAACACATCACCCTACTCCACACTAATCAACCACCATCGTATGGCATCACATGACCTGACATGGAATAATTTTTTAGAATTCTCAAAAATCGCATCCCATGACCTGACATGGAATGAACATCGTCCCATATACTGCTATTATGTGCCTATGTTATGGCGCATAACCGTGCTATAACCATACTATAACCATGCTATAACCATGCAATAACCAAGCAATAACCATGCAATAACCATGCAATAACCATGCAGTAACCATGCTATAACCATGCTATAACCATGCAATAACCATGCAATAACCATGCAATAACCATGCTATAACCATGCTATAACCATGCTATAACCATGCTATAACCATGCTATAACCGTGCTATAACCATGCTACCACCTATGCCCATGCACCACCATGGCATCACCACACATGCACCCCATCCCTCCCGCCACCCACCCACAGTGGACGGCCGAGATCAGCCGAGGCAAACATGAACGGCTGAGATAGGTCCAGGTGCGCCTTGATTCCCTCTAGTAGCGCCTGTTCGGCATATAGCTCCATGCGCGTCTGGTGAGGTGGGGAGGGGAGGGGGAGGAGGGGAATATTTTGATATGTCTCAGAAACAGCAGCTCCATGCGCGTCTGGTGAGGTGGGGAGGGGAGGGGGAGGAGGGGAAGATTTTGACATGTCTCAGAAACAGCAGCTCCATGCGCGTCTGGCATTGCGGGGGAAAGAAAGGGGGTTCATACGAGGTTCAGACATGTCTCATGTCGCAGCTCACTGAGACATGTCTGAACCTCGCATGTCTCAGAAACAGCAGCTCCATGCGCGTCTGGCATTGCGGGGGAAAGAAAGGGGGTTCATATTTGATTGGGTAAAGCAGGAGAAAGGGATTGTGGGGTTCGGGGGAGCGACCAGAGACACACACACACACATGATTCGAGTGTCATGTCAGCCACACTCTAGCCGCGCCTACTATGGGAGAGCGTATACTCGAGCAGTGCCCTGCTGAGACGGCTCAAACTGAAAGACAGCGTGTTTTGAGACGTCTCAATACTCGAGCAGTGCCCTGCTGAGACGGCTCAAACTGAAAGACAGCGTGTTTTGAGACGTCTCAATACTCGAGCAGTGCCCTGCTGAGACGGCTCAAACTGAAAGACAGCGTGTTTTGAGACGTCTCAATACTCGAGCAGTGCCCTGCTGAGACGGCTCAAACTGAAAGACAGCGTGTTTTGAGACGTCTCAATACTCGAGCAGTGCCCTGCTGAGACGGCTCAAACTGAAAGACAGCGTGTTTTGAGACGTCTCAATACTCGAGCAGTGCCCTGCTGAGACGGCTCAAACTGAAAGACAGCGTGTTTTGAGACGTCTCAATACTCGAGCAGTGCCCTGCTGAGACGGCTCAAACTGAAAGACAGCGTGTTTTGAGACGTCTCAATACTCGAGCAGTGCCCTGCTGAGACGGCTCAAACTGAAAGACAGCGTGTTTTGAGACGTCTCAATACTCGAGCAGTGCCCTGCTGAGACGGCTCAAACTGAAAGACAGCGTGTTTTGAGACGTCTCAATACTCGAGCAGTGCCCTGCTGAGACGGCTCAAACTGAAAGACAGCGTGTTTTGAGACGTCTCAATACTCGAGCAGTGCCCTGCTGAGACGGCTCAAACTGAAAGACAGCGTGTTTTGAGACGTCTCAATACTCGAGCAGTGCCCTGCTGAGACGGCTCAAACTGAAAGACAGCGTGTTTTGAGACGTCTCAATACTCGAGCAGTGCCCTGCTGAGACGGCTCAAACTGAAAGACAGCGTGTTTTGAGACGTCTCAATACTCGAGCAGTGCCCTGCTGAGACGGCTCAAACTGAAAGACAGCGTGTTTTGAGACGTCTCAATACTCGAGCAGTGCCCTGCTGAGACGGCTCAAACTGAAAGACAGCGTGTTTTGAGACGTCTCAATACTCGAGCAGTGCCCTGCTGAGACGGCTCAAACTGAAAGACAGCGTGTTTTGAGACGTCTCAATACTCGAGCAGTGCCCTGCTGAGACGGCTCAAACTGAAAGACAGCGTGTTTTGAGACGTCTCAATACTCGAGCAGTGCCCTGCTGAGACGGCTCAAACTGAAAGACAGCGTGTTTTGAGACGTCTCAATACTCGAGCAGTGCCCTGCTGAGACGGCTCAAACTGAAAGACAGCGTGTTTTGAGACGTCTCAATACTCGAGCAGTGCCCTGCTGAGACGGCTCAAACTGAAAGACAGCGTGTTTTGAGACGTCTCAATACTCGAGCAGTGCCCTGCTGAGACGGCTCAAACTGAAAGACAGCGTGTTTTGAGACGTCTCAATACTCGAGCAGTGCCCTGCTGAGACGGCTCAAACTGAAAGACAGCGTGTTTTGAGACGTCTCAATACTCGAGCAGTGCCCTGCTGAGACGGCTCAAACTGAAAGACAGCGTGTTTTGAGACGTCTCAATACTCGAGCAGTGCCCTGCTGAGACGGCTCAAACTGAAAGACAGCGTGTTTTGAGACGTCTCAATACTCGAGCAGTGCCCTGCTGAGACGGCTCAAACTGAAAGACAGCGTGTTTTGAGACGTCTCAATACTCGAGCAGTGCCCTGCTGAGACGGCTCAAACTGAAAGACAGCGTGTTTTGAGACGTCTCAATACTCGAGCAGTGCCCTGCTGAGACGGCTCAAACTGAAAGACAGCGTGTTTTGAGACGTCTCAATACTCGAGCAGTGCCCTGCTGAGACGGCTCAAACTGAAAGACAGCGTGTTTTGAGACGTCTCAATACTCGAGCAGTGCCCTGCTGAGACGGCTCAAACTGAAAGACAGCGTGTTTTGAGACGTCTCAATACTCGAGCAGTGCCCTGCTGAGACGGCTCAAACTGAAAGACAGCGTGTTTTGAGACGTCTCAATACTCGAGCAGTGCCCTGCTGAGACGGCTCAAAGTGAAAGACAGCGTGTTTTGAGACGTCTCAATACTCGAGCAGTGCCCTGCTGAGACGGCTCAAACTGAAAGACAGCGTGTTTTGAGACGTCTCAATACTCGAGCAGTGCCCTGCTGAGACGGCTCAAACTGAAAGACAGCGTGTTTTGAGACGTCTCAATACTCGAGCAGTGCCCTGCTGAGACGGCTCAAACTGAAAGACAGCGTGTTTTGAGACGTCTCAATACTCGAGCAGTGCCCTGCTGAGACGGCTCAAACTGAAAGACAGCGTGTTTTGAGACGTCTCAATACTCGAGCAGTGCCCTGCTGAGACGGCTCAAACTGAAAGACAGCGTGTTTTGAGACGTCTCAATACTCGAGCAGTGCCCTGCTGAGACGGCTCAAACTGAAAGACAGCGTGTTTTGAGACGTCTCAATACTCGAGCAGTGCCCTGCTGAGACGGCTCAAACTGAAAGACAGCGTGTTTTGAGACGTCTCAATACTCGAGCAGTGCCCTGCTGAGACGGCTCAAACTGAAAGACAGCGTGTTTTGAGACGTCTCAATACTCGAGCAGTGCCCTGCTGAGACGGCTCAAACTGAAAGACAGCGTGTTTTGAGACGTCTCAATACTCGAGCAGTGCCCTGCTGAGACGGCTCAAACTGAAAGACAGCGTGTTTTGAGACGTCTCAATACTCGAGCAGTGCCCTGCTGAGACGGCTCAAACTGAAAGACAGCGTGTTTTGAGACGTCTCAATACTCGAGCAGTGCCCTGCTGAGACGGCTCAAACTGAAAGACAGCGTGTTTTGAGACGTCTCAATACTCGAGCAGTGCCCTGCTGAGACGGCTCAAACTGAAAGACAGCGTGTTTTGAGACGTCTCAATACTCGAGCAGTGCCCTGCTGAGACGGCTCAAACTGAAAGACAGCGTGTTTTGAGACGTCTCAATACTCGAGCAGTGCCCTGCTGAGACGGCTCAAACTGAAAGACAGCGTGTTTTGAGACGTCTCAATACTCGAGCAGTGCCCTGCTGAGACGGCTCAAACTGAAAGACAGCGTGTTTTGAGACGTCTCAATACTCGAGCAGTGCCCTGCTGAGACGGCTCAAAGTGAAAGACAGCGTGTTTTGAGACGTCTCAATACTCGAGCAGTGCCCTGCTGAGACGGCTCAAACTGAAAGACAGCGTGTTTTGAGACGTCTCAATACTCGAGCAGTGCCCTGCTGAGACGGCTCAAACTGAAAGACAGCGTGTTTTGAGACGTCTCAATACTCGAGCAGTGCCCTGCTGAGACGGCTCAAACTGAAAGACAGCGTGTTTTGAGACGTCTCAATACTCGAGCAGTGCCCTGCTGAGACGGCTCAAACTGAAAGACAGCGTGTTTTGAGACGTCTCAATACTCGAGCAGTGCCCTGCTGAGACGGCTCAAACTGAAAGACAGCGTGTTTTGAGACGTCTCAATACTCGAGCAGTGCCCTGCTGAGACGGCTCAAACTGAAAGACAGCGTGTTTTGAGACGTCTCAATACTCGAGCAGTGCCCTGCTGAGACGGCTCAAACTGAAAGACAGCGTGTTTTGAGACGTCTCAATACTCGAGCAGTGCCCTGCTGAGACGGCTCAAAGTGAAAGACAGCGTGTTTTGAGACGTCTCAATACTCGAGCAGTGCCCTGCTGAGACGGCTCAAACTGAAAGACAGCGTGTTTTGAGACGTCTCAATACTCGAGCAGTGCCCTGCTGAGACGGCTCAAACTGAAAGACAGCGTGTTTTGAGACGTCTCAATACTCGAGCAGTGCCCTGCTGAGACGGCTCAAACTGAAAGACAGCGTGTTTTGAGACGTCTCAATACTCGAGCAGTGCCCTGCTGAGACGGCTCAAAGTGAAAGACAGCGTGTTTTGAGACGTCTCAATACTCGAGCAGTGCCCTGCTGAGACGGCTCAAACTGAAAGACAGCGTGTTTTGAGACGTCTCAATACTCGAGCAGTGCCCTGCTGAGACGGCTCAAACTGAAAGACAGCGTGTTTTGAGACGTCTCAATACTCGAGCAGTGCCCTGCTGAGACGGCTCAAACTGAAAGACAGCGTGTTTTGAGACGTCTCAATACTCGAGCAGTGCCCTGCTGAGACGGCTCAAACTGAAAGACAGCGTGTTTTGAGACGTCTCAATACTCGAGCAGTGCCCTGCTGAGACGGCTCAAACTGAAAGACAGCGTGTTTTGAGACGTCTCAATACTCGAGCAGTGCCCTGCTGAGACGGCTCAAACTGAAAGACAGCGTGTTTTGAGACGTCTCAATACTCGAGCAGTGCCCTGCTGAGACGGCTCAAACTGAAAGACAGCGTGTTTTGAGACGTCTCAATACTCGAGCAGTGCCCTGCTGAGACGGCTCAAACTGAAAGACAGCGTGTTTTGAGACGTCTCAATACTCGAGCAGTGCCCTGCTGAGACGGCTCAAACTGAAAGACAGCGTGTTTTGAGACGTCTCAATACTCGAGCAGTGCCCTGCTGAGACGGCTCAAACTGAAAGACAGCGTGTTTTGAGACGTCTCAATACTCGAGCAGTGCCCTGCTGAGACGGCTCAAACTGAAAGACAGCGTGTTTTGAGACGTCTCAATACTCGAGCAGTGCCCTGCTGAGACGGCTCAAACTGAAAGACAGCGTGTTTTGAGACGTCTCAATACTCGAGCAGTGCCCTGCTGAGACGGCTCAAACTGAAAGACAGCGTGTTTTGAGACGTCTCAATACTCGAGCAGTGCCCTGCTGAGACGGCTCAAACTGAAAGACAGCGTGTTTTGAGACGTCTCAATACTCGAGCAGTGCCCTGCTGAGACGGCTCAAACTGAAAGACAGCGTGTTTTGAGACGTCTCAATACTCGAGCAGTGCCCTGCTGAGACGGCTCAAACTGAAAGACAGCGTGTTTTGAGACGTCTCAATACTCGAGCAGTGCCCTGCTGAGACGGCTCAAAGTGAAAGACAGCGTGTTTTGAGACGTCTCAATACTCGAGCAGTGCCCTGCTGAGACGGCTCAAACTGAAAGACAGCGTGTTTTGAGACGTCTCAATACTCGAGCAGTGCCCTGCTGAGACGGCTCAAACTGAAAGACAGCGTGTTTTGAGACGTCTCAATACTCGAGCAGTGCCCTGCTGAGACGGCTCAAACTGAAAGACAGCGTGTTTTGAGACGTCTCAATACTCGAGCAGTGCCCTGCTGAGACGGCTCAAACTGAAAGACAGCGTGTTTTGAGACGTCTCAATACTCGAGCAGTGCCCTGCTGAGACGGCTCAAACTGAAAGACAGCGTGTTTTGAGACGTCTCAATACTCGAGCAGTGCCCTGCTGAGACGGCTCAAACTGAAAGACAGCGTGTTTTGAGACGTCTCAATACTCGAGCAGTGCCCTGCTGAGACGGCTCAAACTGAAAGACAGCGTGTTTTGAGACGTCTCAATACTCGAGCAGTGCCCTGCTGAGACGGCTCAAACTGAAAGACAGCGTGTTTTGAGACGTCTCAATACTCGAGCAGTGCCCTGCTGAGACGGCTCAAACTGAAAGACAGCGTGTTTTGAGACGTCTCAATACTCGAGCAGTGCCCTGCTGAGACGGCTCAAACTGAAAGACAGCGTGTTTTGAGACGTCTCAATACTCGAGCAGTGCCCTGCTGAGACGGCTCAAACTGAAAGACAGCGTGTTTTGAGACGTCTCAATACTCGAGCAGTGCCCTGCTGAGACGGCTCAAACTGAAAGACAGCGTGTTTTGAGACGTCTCAATACTCGAGCAGTGCCCTGCTGAGACGGCTCAAACTGAAAGACAGCGTGTTTTGAGACGTCTCAATACTCGAGCAGTGCCCTGCTGAGACGGCTCAAACTGAAAGACAGCGTGTTTTGAGACGTCTCAATACTCGAGCAGTGCCCTGCTGAGACGGCTCAAACTGAAAGACAGCGTGTTTTGAGACGTCTCAATACTCGAGCAGTGCCCTGCTGAGACGGCTCAAACTGAAAGACAGCGTGTTTTGAGACGTCTCAATACTCGAGCAGTGCCCTGCTGAGACGGCTCAAACTGAAAGACAGCGTGTTTTGAGACGTCTCAATACTCGAGCAGTGCCCTGCTGAGACGGCTCAAACTGAAAGACAGCGTGTTTTGAGACGTCTCAATACTCGAGCAGTGCCCTGCTGAGACGGCTCAAACTGAAAGACAGCGTGTTTTGAGACGTCTCAATACTCGAGCAGTGCCCTGCTGAGACGGCTCAAACTGAAAGACAGCGTGTTTTGAGACGTCTCAATACTCGAGCAGTGCCCTGCTGAGACGGCTCAAACTGAAAGACAGCGTGTTTTGAGACGTCTCAATACTCGAGCAGTGCCCTGCTGAGACGGCTCAAACTGAAAGACAGCGTGTTTTGAGACGTCTCAATACTCGAGCAGTGCCCTGCTGAGACGGCTCAAACTGAAAGACAGCGTGTTTTGAGACGTCTCAATACTCGAGCAGTGCCCTGCTGAGACGGCTCAAACTGAAAGACAGCGTGTTTTGAGACGTCTCAATACTCGAGCAGTGCCCTGCTGAGACGGCTCAAAGTGAAAGACAGCGTGTTTTGAGACGTCTCAATACTCGAGCAGTGCCCTGCTGAGACGGCTCAAACTGAAAGACAGCGTGTTTTGAGACGTCTCAATACTCGAGCAGTGCCCTGCTGAGACGGCTCAAACTGAAAGACAGCGTGTTTTGAGACGTCTCAATACTCGAGCAGTGCCCTGCTGAGACGGCTCAAACTGAAAGACAGCGTGTTTTGAGACGTCTCAATACTCGAGCAGTGCCCTGCTGAGACGGCTCAAACTGAAAGACAGCGTGTTTTGAGACGTCTCAATACTCGAGCAGTGCCCTGCTGAGACGGCTCAAACTGAAAGACAGCGTGTTTTGAGACGTCTCAATACTCGAGCAGTGCCCTGCTGAGACGGCTCAAACTGAAAGACAGCGTGTTTTGAGACGTCTCAATACTCGAGCAGTGCCCTGCTGAGACGGCTCAAACTGAAAGACAGCGTGTTTTGAGACGTCTCAATACTCGAGCAGTGCCCTGCTGAGACGGCTCAAACTGAAAGACAGCGTGTTTTGAGACGTCTCAATACTCGAGCAGTGCCCTGCTGAGACGGCTCAAACTGAAAGACAGCGTGTTTTGAGACGTCTCAATACTCGAGCAGTGCCCTGCTGAGACGGCTCAAACTGAAAGACAGCGTGTTTTGAGACGTCTCAATACTCGAGCAGTGCCCTGCTGAGACGGCTCAAACTGAAAGACAGCGTGTTTTGAGACGTCTCAATACTCGAGCAGTGCCCTGCTGAGACGGCTCAAACTGAAAGACAGCGTGTTTTGAGACGTCTCAATACTCGAGCAGTGCCCTGCTGAGACGGCTCAAAGTGAAAGACAGCGTGTTTTGAGACGTCTCAATACTCGAGCAGTGCCCTGCTGAGACGGCTCAAACTGAAAGACAGCGTGTTTTGAGACGTCTCAATACTCGAGCAGTGCCCTGCTGAGACGGCTCAAACTGAAAGACAGCGTGTTTTGAGACGTCTCAATACTCGAGCAGTGCCCTGCTGAGACGGCTCAAACTGAAAGACAGCGTGTTTTGAGACGTCTCAATACTCGAGCAGTGCCCTGCTGAGACGGCTCAAACTGAAAGACAGCGTGTTTTGAGACGTCTCAATACTCGAGCAGTGCCCTGCTGAGACGGCTCAAACTGAAAGACAGCGTGTTTTGAGACGTCTCAATACTCGAGCAGTGCCCTGCTGAGACGGCTCAAACTGAAAGACAGCGTGTTTTGAGACGTCTCAATACTCGAGCAGTGCCCTGCTGAGACGGCTCAAACTGAAAGACAGCGTGTTTTGAGACGTCTCAATACTCGAGCAGTGCCCTGCTGAGACGGCTCAAACTGAAAGACAGCGTGTTTTGAGACGTCTCAATACTCGAGCAGTGCCCTGCTGAGACGGCTCAAACTGAAAGACAGCGTGTTTTGAGACGTCTCAATACTCGAGCAGTGCCCTGCTGAGACGGCTCAAACTGAAAGACAGCGTGTTTTGAGACGTCTCAATACTCGAGCAGTGCCCTGCTGAGACGGCTCAAACTGAAAGACAGCGTGTTTTGAGACGTCTCAATACTCGAGCAGTGCCCTGCTGAGACGGCTCAAACTGAAAGACAGCGTGTTTTGAGACGTCTCAATACTCGAGCAGTGCCCTGCTGAGACGGCTCAAACTGAAAGACAGCGTGTTTTGAGACGTCTCAATACTCGAGCAGTGCCCTGCTGAGACGGCTCAAACTGAAAGACAGCGTGTTTTGAGACGTCTCAATACTCGAGCAGTGCCCTGCTGAGACGGCTCAAACTGAAAGACAGCGTGTTTTGAGACGTCTCAATACTCGAGCAGTGCCCTGCTGAGACGGCTCAAACTGAAAGACAGCGTGTTTTGAGACGTCTCAATACTCGAGCAGTGCCCTGCTGAGACGGCTCAAACTGAAAGACAGCGTGTTTTGAGACGTCTCAATACTCGAGCAGTGCCCTGCTGAGACGGCTCAAACTGAAAGACAGCGTGTTTTGAGACGTCTCAATACTCGAGCAGTGCCCTGCTGAGACGGCTCAAACTGAAAGACAGCGTGTTTTGAGACGTCTCAATACTCGAGCAGTGCCCTGCTGAGACGGCTCAAAGTGAAAGACAGCGTGTTTTGAGACGTCTCAATACTCGAGCAGTGCCCTGCTGAGACGGCTCAAACTGAAAGACAGCGTGTTTTGAGACGTCTCAATACTCGAGCAGTGCCCTGCTGAGACGGCTCAAAGTGAAAGACAGCGTGTTTTGAGACGTCTCAATACTCGAGCAGTGCCCTGCTGAGACGGCTCAAACTGAAAGACAGCGTGTTTTGAGACGTCTCAATACTCGAGCAGTGCCCTGCTGAGACGGCTCAAACTGAAAGACAGCGTGTTTTGAGACGTCTCAATACTCGAGCAGTGCCCTGCTGAGACGGCTCAAACTGAAAGACAGCGTGTTTTGAGACGTCTCAATACTCGAGCAGTGCCCTGCTGAGACGGCTCAAACTGAAAGACAGCGTGTTTTGAGACGTCTCAATACTCGAGCAGTGCCCTGCTGAGACGGCTCAAACTGAAAGACAGCGTGTTTTGAGACGTCTCAATACTCGAGCAGTGCCCTGCTGAGACGGCTCAAACTGAAAACAGCGTCCCCAAGAAGGGTTTTCCAGCACTCACACACAGTCCTTCCAAATACTGCAGCAGCGACTGCACGTGCAGGTCCATGAAGAGAAAGATGTTGCCCAGCTAGCTGTTGGGAATGCTGCTGAGGACGCTACGGTATGTCACTGGGAAAGAACAGCATGCTTACACAGGGTCCTTCTAGGTACTGCAGCAGCGACTGCACGTGCAGGTCCATGAAGAGGAAGATGTTGCCCAGCTTGCTGTTGGGAATGCTGCTGAGGATGCGTGCGTTCACCTTGCTGGTTATCACCTCCCCTGGTAGCACCTGCCGCTCCATGGTGCTGGGAAATTGGGCAGGAGAAAGATAAGTGGAGAGGAGTGGGAAGGAGAAAGATGAGGGTGGAGAGGAGTGGGAAGGATGAGGGTGGAGAGAGAGAAAGGCATGAGAGGCAGGCGTCATCTGTGAGGGAAGCTGCTCAGAATGCGTGCGTTCAACTTGCTGGTTATTACCTCCCCCAGCAGTACCTCCCCTGACAGTACCTGACACTCCATGGTGCTGGCAGGAAGGTGGGGGAGGAGTGAGGAGAGAGAATGGCATGAGAGGTCGGTACCATGAGAGAAGTATGGCTTCGCTTCCCCTTGCAAATGCCACCGCGTACTGGAGAAGTAAGAGAGAGCTGAGCTGAAAATGCGTCCGTTTCACCTCGCATTGGAACAAAGCCGTGCCTGCAGCACTGCACGCACGCACCATACCTGTTGTTGCCGAGGAACGGAACGATGCAGCCTATGCTGGAACAATGGAACCAAGTCGTGCCTAAGAACACCAGTTCGCGTACCTGTAGCCAAGGAAAGGGATGACAAAGATGCGGCGGCGGCTGCCATAGGCAGCAAAGGCGCAGCCGAGGCGGACGAGCTCCAGAAGGTCGTCGTCCGTGTGCGTGGCAGCCACGAATATGACGTCTTGACCGACTAGCTGGTACTTCTCGTCCATCAGAACTCGCAGGTACTGCATGCAAGAGAGAGGGGGAAGGGGGGGGATTGTGGGGTGAGGACAGAAAGAGCTCCAGCAGGTCGGCGTCCGTGTGCGTGGCCGCCACGAATATGACGTCTTGACCGACTAGCTGGTACTTCTTGTCCATCAGAACTCGCAGGTACTGTGTGGGAGGAGGGCGAGGGGAAGGGGGAGCATGCATGGTTGGGAGGGAAACAAAGTGCTCCAGCAGATCGTCGTCTGTGTGCGTGGCCGCCACGAATATCACGTCTTGACCGACTAGCTGGTACTTCTTGTCCATCAGAACTCGCAGGTACTGTGTGGGAGGAGGGCGAGGGGAAGGGGGAGCATGCATGGTTGGGAGGGAAACAAAGTGCTCCAGCAGATCGTCGTCTGTGTGCGTGGCCGCCACGAATATCACGTCTTGACCGACTAGCTGGTACTTCTCGTCCATGAACACTCGCAGGTACTGGTAAGGGAGAGAAGTGTGGTTGTAGTGGGGACGGGGTGGTTGTAGGGTTGGGAGGGAAAGAGCTCCAGCAGGTCGTCGTCCGTGTGCGTGGCTGCCACGAACATCACGTCCTGGCCGACCAGCTGATACTTCTCGTCCATTAACACTCGCAGGTACTGTGTGGGAGGAGGGCGAGGGGAAGGGGGTGCATACAGGGTCGGGAGGGAAACAAAGTGCTCCAGCAGATCGTCGTCTGTGTGCGTGGCCGCCACGAACATCACGTCCTGGCCGACTAGCTGGTACTTCTCTTCCATCAACACACGCAGGTACTGCATGTGAGAAAGAGGGGGAAGGGGGTGGTTGCGGGGTGAGGAGGGAAACATCTCCAGCAGGAAGGCGTCTGTGTGCGTGGCCGCCACGAATATGACGTCTTGACCGACTAGCTGATACTTTTCGTCCATCAGGACGCGCAGGTACTGCAGAGAGCAAGGGGAGAAGATAGAGGTTTGAGATATGGAAACCCACATGTGAGTGCGTGAAGCGATTAAATATGCGAGTATCTAAAGAGGAATGCACCGCATACCCTGAACCCGTAACCTCTAACCCTCAGTCTACTCAAAGGCACTTAAAAGATTGCGGTAACCGAAAGTGCCCAGTAATTGGATACGAGCTATCGGATAAGTCACTTGAAGAAAAAAACGAGTTGCAACAGCATGTATTTAATTCGTTGCGCGCCTAAACAGCATCATCACCTTTTCCCCTCCTTTGAACTGTTTTCGGATCACCGTCCCGCGTTCGACGCTAAGCTGCTGCGCGATCAGATCCGCCAAATATGCGCTCGCCTCGCTCGAGTACACCACGTAGTTCGACGCGCACGTCGTTCCGTGGTTCATACTCGGACACATTAACGCCGTCGAGTTCATCACAACGTCGATCGCGGGAGACGCGCTGCTTGCAACTCCGTTGTTTGCTACCGCGCCGTCCGTGCCGGTACTCATAGCTGTCGCTCTCTGAATGACCGTTGAGAATGTGAGTGGAGCAAGGAGTAGAAGCACGCAGTAGAAAAAAAACGCTGGATGCGGGACGCTTCGAGGGTCTTCAGATTTGAACGTTAATCCTCTAGATTTGGGTTGCGAAGGAGTAAGGGCGCATCGAGGCTCAACTGACACCAGCATTTATTCTAGAACCCATACGGTGGAGGACTCAAACCTAGAACTGTGGAAGACAACCTTGGAGATATCATGAACTCTGCATGGACCACAGCGAAACCCACTCAGACTGAGCCAACAAAATTGAGCTAGTACAGCAATGCGAAACTTTGCTGATGCATCCTCGCGTAAGACATCGCAGCCGTCCATTGTTTCCCTGAAATTGCGCCCAGAGCTCGATGACTACGGTGCAGTCATTGTTTCTGCATGTGTGGGCGTGGAACAACACGTTCGCAAATCGAGCGAAAAAATCGACGGTGTTCGCCAACGAATCTCCAACACGTTCGTAAATCGGCGTGTCTGTATCATTGCAACATTTCACACGCCCAAATACAGCACGCACACGCCTTCCAAGTTCCACTACAACTACAAGAGACAAATAACTCTAAGCAGTGCATATATTATCAGATTAACATGTGAATGAGCCGAGGTCATATGTACGTGGAGTCTTCCTCCTCAAGGGATGACTTCAGCAAAATTTGCTGCACGTTTTCAACCCCAGGAGGAAAATCCAGAACCCTCAATAGAGCAATATTAGAGCAGAAAGCATGCATAAAATGCAAGTGACGGACAAAGCAACTCAAACATACTGTACCATGCAATAAACTCAACAATGTACCTGTGTGCATGCGAGAGTGTATCGTATGTCTTCTGCTGTGATGTGGTAATGTGTTACCATTCGGATCCTGGAAGGGGAAGATAAGAGGGGGGGAATAGAAAAGCAAGCAAGTTAGTGGAATAAGAATATTATACTACCAACAAGTTACAACCCATCAACGCAGACGACAAGTCGGTGCCGTGGTCAAAAGCATCCCACATGTACGCTGAAATGCGAAGACTCGACTATCTTCTCGGCACATTTTTTTTAGTGGGTGGTGCGAAATACCACACTGCTGCACTGCAATTCATCATTGCACGACACAGTCATCACACTGCTACTCATTCAAACAAGCTCACTGGTTGTTGCTGCACAGGGTGGTAAGAACACCAGCTTGCCGTAGAGAATGCAGATGATTCCATCGAGCAAGTCAACACTGTGGGTTTGTTGCAGGTGCTCACTTATTGATGCGCCACAATGGCCGAACACATTCGTTGTTGCTGCGCACGGTGGTGACAATGCCAGCCTGCTAGACTGCACTCCAGAGCATGCACAGCGGTTTCACCCTCTCCAGGTACTCCTATTTGCATTCAGTTTAGTCGAACGAGCTCAATTCTCTAGGCTGATCGCACTTACTTATTGTTGCTGCGCAGAGTGGTAAGAACGCCAGCCTGCTTGACTACACTCCAGAGCATGCAGAGCATTTTCACTCTCTCCAGGCGTGATAAGTCGATTTTTTAGTCGACTCAAAAATCAGAGCATGCACAGCGTTTTCACCCTCTCCAGGTACTCCTATTCGCATTCAGTTTAGTCGAACAAGCTCAATTCCCTTGGCTGATCGCACTTACTTATTGTTGCTGCGCAGAGTGGTGAGAACGCCAGCCTGCCGCAGGGCATTGCAGAGCTCCTCAGCTCCAATGGGGCAGTCGGCCTTCACGTCCATCGTCACCTGCATGATACATGCATCAAGAGCACAGAGGGCATGTGAGAAAGAAGTCAACACACTGTGCAGGTTACAAGCCGGCTCCTCATCTCATCTCCAAAGGGGCAGTCGACCTTCACGTCCATCGTCACCTGCATGACACATGGATCAAGAGCACAGCGAACGTTAGAACGACATCAACACGCATCAGGAGCACTGGGCATGCTACGAAGAAAATCATGTCCAGCGCTCCTGATACGTGTTGATGTCATTCTAACGTTCTATCATGTCCAGCGCTCCTGATACGTATCATGCTCACCGTTCCTTGGCTCCGTTCCTTTCTCGTAGGCACTGATGAAGGCCTGGAAGGGGATGCCCTCCAGCCGAAATATGTTTGTCTTGTTTTAATTTCTGTTAACGAGAGGAGTTGCGGTTCTACAAGCTCTTGGCTAGTAGCTAGTGTTAAGAATTACACTGTCTTTTTCCTACTTGCTCAAGCCTAAACCTAAGCGCTGCTGCTCACTGGAAGATGTCCGAAGAGCGCTGGGCATGCTACGAAGAAAATCATGTCCAGCGCTCCTGATACGTGTCATGCTCACCGTTCCTTGGCTCCGATGGGCCAATCACCCATCATCACGTCCATTATCACCTGATGCCATAAAATAAAAAGAGCACCAGGCACATTTCGTTTTCCTTTGTCTATTTCATTTTCTTTCCCCTTCTTGGTGGCATATTGGGTGTCATTGAAGCCACTGTATTGCCGCTTTGATTACTACTCACAATGTTGGAGTCCACTGTGCTCACATCCACAGCCAGCCCATCCAGTGTATCCTTCTGAGGGCCCTCAATTGTCTACAATTCAGCACATTCCAGAGTACTGCATTATCACTTTGATCGCCACTGTACTCACAATGTTGGAGTCCACTGTGCTCACATCCACAGCCAGCCCATCCAATGTATCCAACCCCTCTGCAGAGGCAGCATAGTGGAGGGAGGAAAAAGTGCAGAGGAGTGGGAGAGAGGAAGGGGAGGCCAAAAGACAGGGAGATGGATAATGCTTTTGAGTCGACTCAAAAGCAGGGGAGGCCAAACGGCAGGGAGACGGATACTGCCAACTGCATGGCTCCTTAATGCTCTCGGATGAGCCGAGGAACCAACTCCTGAAGGGCCACCATCCCCACTGCTGCTGCTGCTGCTGCTGCTGCTGCTGCTGCTGCTGCTGCTGCTGCCAGCACTGGCAAACACTTCACTCCCACACACACAGGGACATCACAAATAAGTGCACACCACGGCACCATAGCTGCAAGCTACACACCACAGCACGTACCTGTGAGCTGCACACCGTACTGCGAGCTGCACACCGTACCTGCGAGCTGCATGGCGCGTTAGTGCTCCTGGATGAGCCGAAGAACTTACTCCTGTAGGGCCACTCAACCTGCTGCTGCTGCTGCTGCCAGCACCGGTAAACACTTAACTCTCACATGCACAGGGACATCACAAATAAGTGCACACCACGGCACCATACCTGCGAGCTGCATGGCGCGTTGGTGGTCTCGCATGAGCCGAGGTACCGACTCCTGAAGGGCCACCAGCCCCGCTGCTGCTATGCTGCTGCTGGGGCAGCTGCAAGCAACGGCGAGCGCTTCACTCCCACACACACAGTGGCATCAGAAACAAGTGCCCCCACCACACCACACCACACCACACCATGTACCTGCGAGCTGCATGGCACGTTGGTGGTCTCGTTATTTTTTTTAGAATTCTCAAAAAACATACACCACACCACACCACACCACACCACACCACACCACAGCATGTACCTGCGAGCTGCATGGCGCGTTGGTGGTCTCGGATGAGCCGAGGCACCGACTCCTGAAGGGCCACCAGCCCCACTGCTGCTATGCTGCTGCTGGGGCAGCTGCAAGCAACGGCGAGCGCTTCAATCCCACACACACAGGGGCATCAGAAACAAGTGCCCACACCACACCACACCACACCACACCACACCACAGCACAGCATGTACCTGCCAGCTGCATGGCGCGTTGGTGGTCTCGGATGAGCCGAGGCACCGACTCCTGAAGGGCCACCAGCCCCGCTGCTGCCAGCACGCCCACCTGCCGCATGCTGCCGCCTAGTGCTTTCCGCAAGCGACGAGCCTTCACAGGGATGGGCATGGGGAGACAATGGGAACGCCTGGTATAGAGTAGTGCTGTGCTGCTGCCACCACGCCCACCTACCTCATACTGCCAGTGCTTTCCGCAAGCGACGAGCCTTCGGGCTGGATGGAAAAAGGGGAGTCAATGGGGTGAGGGGCGATGGGTGGCTGGTAAACAAGGGGTGAGGGGCGATGGGTGGCTGGTAAACAAGGGGTGAGGGGCGATGGGTGGCTGGTAAACAAGGGGTGAGGGGCGATGGGTGGCTGGTAAACAAGGGGTGAGGGGCGATGGGTGGCTGGTAAACAAGGGGTGAGGGGCGATGGGTGGCTGGTAAACAAGGGGTGAGGGGCGATGGGTGGCTGGTAAACAAGGGGTGAGGGGCGATGGGTGGCTGGTAAACAAGGGGTGAGGGGCGATGGGTGGCTGGTAAACAAGGGGTGAGGGGCGATGGGTGGCTGGTAAACAAGGGGTAAGGGGCGATGGGTGGCTGGTAAACAAGGGGTAAGGGGCGATGGGTGGCTGGTAAACAAGGGGTAAGGGGCGATGGGTGGCTGGTAAACAAGGGGTGAGGGGCGATGGGTGGCTGGTAAACAAGGGGTGAGGGGCGATGGGTGGCTGGTAAACAAGGGGTGAGGGGCGATGAGTGGCTGGTAAACAAGGGGTGAGGGGCGATGAGTGGCTGGTAAACAAGGGGTGAGGGGCGATGGGTGGCTGGTAAACAAGGGGTAAGGGGCGATGGGTGGCTGGTAAACAAGGGGTGAGGGGCGATGGGTGGCTGGTAAACAAGGGGTGAGGGGCGATGGGTGGCTGGTAAACAAGAGGTGAGGGGCGATGGGTGGCTGGTAAACAAGGGGTGAGGGGCGATGGGTGGCTGGTAAACAAGGGGTGAGGGGCGATGGGTGGCTGGTAAACAAGGGGTGAGGGGCGATGAGTGGCTGGTAAACAAGGGGTAACGCATGGTGGAGAGAAGGGCCGTGCTGCTTCCTGCCGCCTGTCTCGTGCTACCGCCCAGCGCTTTCC